TGATGCGCAGACACAGGGGGAGGAGCTCCGTTGTTAGTCGGCAGTAGTCCTCAGGAGACGCAGCCTCAAGTCGTGTTATACTGGTGTCTGCTGCAGGAGCCGCACAGACACTTGCATAGGACAGTGACGACCACAAACCTATAAAATCAACTTGCACGCAGGCATGGAGAAAGCGGGGCTCTGGCATAATCTTGGCAGAAGGGAATGTGGTTCGACCTTTACAAACCACTTCACTCAGATTTGTGTTATTGTTGCTGTTTTGTTTTTCCTTTAAATTAAATGTAGACCTACAGGAGGTCCAGAGATTTCTCTGGAAGAAAACTGTCCAACAGGAATGAGAATACCTTGTGAGTGAATGTGCACAGCAGCGTTATGTATAATAGTCTCAAACTGGAAACAGTGCAAATGTCTGGAGAAAGGATAAACCCACAGAATGGATCCAGACATTCAGTGCAATGTGATCGGGCACTGTAGAAAGGATGTAACATTAGGCCGTGGTGTGATGTGGACTGACTTCAAACAGTTTGCTTAAAAAGCCACAGTCAAAGGCTCCACAGTGTACGTGATTCCATGTGTGCTCGATGTGTCTAAAGAACAGGCACTTTACAGTGATGAATAGAAGATTGCTGATGAGCTGAGAGGGAGGAAAGGGGGGAGGATGTCAGTTCACCTCGAGAGAGCACATTTAATGAGATTTTAGGAGGAGAGTTTTATAAAAGTGGATAGTGACCACGGTTGTCCAACTCTACAAGTGTGTTAGAAGTCATCAAGTTGCTCACTTGCAATAGGTAAAATTTTAAGATATAGCAAACATCTAATAAATCTGCAAAACAGAAGAAAGACTAAAACCTATTCAAACCACACTAAGCTACAGCTCCTTATGGTTCCAGAAAATGAATGACCCCTGGAAGATGTGGAAACTCGGAGTGACAAGATCCACCCCTGATAAGGAGATCTGTTGTGACATAAATTCTTCCTCCTCTTCCTGACCTATACAACTCCACTCCGGCCCAAGCTACAGCTAGCCCTGCTCAGGCCATGGTGTTGGAGGGTCCTTCTTTCTATATGTTGCTTTCATTGATTGAATAAAAGAAAACTGCCTTGGCCTTTGATAGGGCAGCCCTTAGATGGGCAGAGAATACAGAACTGAATTCTGGGAGGAAGAAGCAGGGTCAGAGAGCCACCCACCATGAAGTTGCCAGGTTAGACATGCTGAATATTTCCCGTTAAGCCATGACCTCGTGGTGACATACAGATTATTAGAAATGGGTTGAGTCAAGATGTGAGAGTTAGCCAATAAGAGGCTAGAACTAATGGGCCAGGCAGTTTAAATTAATACAATTTCTATGTAATTATTTCAGGTGTAAACTAGCCAGGGAGCCGGGTGGCAGGAACGCATCCCTCTGCTCCTTTTACAAGGCCATGCCCTTTCCAGCCATCTACCATTTCAGTGGACACTTCCATTTCCCTGCCAGAATCTCTGGGGCCATGTGCCAGGTTTGCCCAATCATTTTCAGCATCATAAAAAGGAAATCTCTTTGATGCCAGGAATGGTATAAATCCAACTGAAATCAATTCTTAGCTACAATCTTGGCTTTTAACCAAAGCAGAGCTAAACATTAGAAACATGTATTTATTTCTCAGGCATCACTAGCCCCCTTTCTCTATCATAAAGAACCGTGATGAAAGAGAACCCTGGATGCTGCAGTGAATACATACAAGCTTCTGTCTGATCCCTTGTACATGAGTGTCTGTGCATGTGTATGCACATGTGTAAGCATGTGGCTATGTGTGTGTGTGTGTGTGTACATGCACACGTGTGCATATGTACCCATATACACACACATGCCTATTCCCAAAGGCATCGGTGGAAGATGGGAGGTAAAGATGTGGCCATTTGGTGTCTAAGCCGTTGAGTTTTACTTGGGTGGCACATCTGTGAAGGAATGAGAGGCTGACATCACCACTTCCTCTGCCGACTTGGTTTGTTGGTTCCTTATTTTCCTAATAGGAAGATGCTTCTCTGGGGCTGCAGCTGGATGCTTCCAAGGGCAGAGCTAAACAGCCCCTTTTCTTTCCATCTGAACCAGAGTAGCTATGTCTTTCAGGGCCACAGAATCCCTCAGCTACCCATTTCATGCATTCTCGGCAGTTCTTTTCTTGATCCTTGATCATTTTACAACTGTGCCGGCTAGCTTTATCAACTTGACATAAACTGGAGTCAGTTGAGAGGAGGGGACCTTACTGTGAAAATTGTCCCTACCAAATGGGCCCGTGGACAAGCCTCTGGGGCATTTTATTGATAGATGGTTGGAGTGGGAGGGCCCAACTCACTTTGAGCAGTTCCACCCTTGGGCTGGTGGTCCTGGGTAGTATCAGAAAGCAGGGCGAGCAATCCCTGGGGAGCAAACCTGTAACCAGGTCCTCACTGGCCTCTACTTCAGTCCCCGCTTCCAGGTTCACGCCCTGTTTGGGTTCCTGTCCTGACTTCCTTTGACGATGCACAGTGAGGTGGATGCACAAGCCAGACAAGCTCTTTCCTTCACAAGATGTTTTTGGTCATGGTGTTTCATCACAACAGAAGCCCTAATAAGACAGCAGCAGATGTTTATTGGGCTCCTATTAGGTGAAAAAGTCCATCTCAGATGCTGTGGGGATACAGGGATGACAAAGAAGAACATTTCCTCACATAACTTACAGTCTAATTAAAGCAGAAGGTAGACAGGTGACATAAATGACCACATTAGTAGGTAACAGTTGATCTCCTAGGTATCAAGAAAACTACCAGAGTCTTGAGGAAGGGAAAAATCCTTTAAGCTAGAACAGTCCAGGAACCCTGGTGGGAAAGTGTCCTTTAAACTGGGGCTCAAAGATCCATAGAATTTTGGTTGGCATAGTAACCAGAGGAAAGGAAATGGCGATGGAAGGAAAGCCGTGTGCGTGGAATGTGACTTTGGAAACACAAAAGCACAGGGCATGTTTGGGAGGAACACAGAATATGCATCTGCCTCCGAGAGACACACATACAAGTCTATACATACAAGTAAGAGCTGGAATTTTGAACTCATCTCTAGACAGGCAGGTTAACCTCTCTACTAGAAAGCCATTTAAATCATGGAAGCCAGACCCAGCTCTCTTGACTGACTGCAATCCCTGAGAAGCTGCCCAATATGACCACAAGCATATGGGATCTGTGCTCCATGACCATCGGGTCTCCTCCAGTCCCAGAACTGCACCATTTGGTGGTCTCTGGAAGGCTAGGAACAGAAAATAAACTCTGCCTTTTGTACGTTGGGCAACAAGAACTTTGTATGACTCCTGAATAAAAGTTCTGGTCTCTTCAAGAATTGCCGGCGGGGAGTGGGGTGGGGGGTGGTTGCTTGGAATGGGCTCCTCTGGAGTGTACGAAATGATCACCATTTGTGGCACGGAGCACACAGACCCTTCAGATAGGTGGTTCTGCCTAGGCTTCAAATACCAGGTAGATTGACTGGTCTGTGTTACCCACACAATGATGGGAGACAGGAGGTATGCACCATAGTCTTAAAACTGTGTGACTTTTGTTACTCTCCAAATGAAGAGTCTCGAGTGGTCCCCATAGAGATATATTTCAGTTAGATAGGCATTCTTCATATCTTTCAAAGACTACATAATATGGCATTTAAACTGTTTTAATAACTTAGGGCTTTTCATGACAATGAGACATGTCTGCTCCTGGCAGCTCCAATCTACTTCAAGAGGAAGATGGGCATCAAACAGGCTCCTTATGGAGTTGGTTAGCCGTTTGGGCAAGAAACTGCTCTTGCCTGGACTGTTGAATAAACCTGACATGAAAAACCCACAGAGAGAGGACCGCTGAACTTGCCTAAAGGTGAGAAGATCCTTTGGGGTTCCTGTTTCATGAAAGAGTCTGCAAGACATTCTGCAGGACACAGAAGAAAGTGACTAAAGTGTCTTTAAAATTTCCTGCTTCATGGAAATGTCTGCTGGATACTATGGGCCTGAAGGCCAAAGATGAATGCCCCAACAGTACAGAAGAACTTTGGGTGACTGTCCAGGCAGCAAGATGTCTCTGTCATTTCTAGAGTTTTGGAAGTTGCTTACCTCTCATTTACTTAGGTAATATAAGGAATGAAAAAACTGGGAGAAATATTCTTCCCCAGAGAACACACCAACTGGTTATCAAATATCAAGTGGTGAGCCTGAAGACATGTACATATAAGTGACACTATACAGGCTAAGAAAACCCTAGTTCTGTATTCAGAAATACACATGTATTCCTATGTATGTAATAAATGTATGCAATATTATGTCAAATAATGAAAAAGATGCGTGAACTTGAAAGAGAGCAAGAGAAGTTCTGTGGGATGGTTTGCAGGGAGAAAGGGAAGGGGAAAAATGTGATTATAATCTTAAAAAAACAAAAGAAATAATAATATACAAAATGAAATAGCTCCCCAAAATGATATGTTTAAAGCATGCTAAAATCGCAGAACTGTAGACTGCTAAGCGGAAATACTTGTAGTCCAATTCTGTAAGATGTTTTTGGAACCCTACTGCGTTCTACAGGTGGAGTCATTGTTGGCCCCACCCAACCTTGCTGCTTCTGCTCCTCTACCTGAAGTGCGTGCCATGCCAGTGACACCATTAAGGCTTTTACCCCTTCTCCTCAATTCTGCCTCACTGAACACCAAGTCTACTGACTGGGTCTTCTGTAATACACAGACACTCTGCTCCCCAACCCCACACTACTGTTTGGTCCAAATCCTCACAATCCCTTACTGAACTATGGCCACAGTCCCTACATGAATCATGTTCTCATACCCAAGGTATGTGTTTTAAGCCAGGATCTCTTTTAATTTCTGAAGGTACCATGGTGAGATGCCTGTCCTTTCATGGAACTTGCTTTTGAACAAAAGTTCTAACTAATGAGAAAGCCAATAGGGGAATGTCACAATGGCATGTTCTAGAAGGCAAATGAGCTATCACAGGAGAATAACTGAGGGCTGCGGAGGTGCAGAAACAGAGTGGCTACAGAGACATATGGGAGCTGGGGACTAAGAGCAGCCAGCATCTCCTACAGTAAGCCAGGAATGGGGTGGTGTAGCAGGAGAGGGGCACAGTTAGGACAAAGTGCAGAAAAATCATGGGGATTTGCCTAGGGTGATGGCAGAGGGAATCGAGAGAAGTAGATGACATCAGATTATGTTTTAAACACAGACCAGACCTAATGAACCAATTTGGGTCAGATTGACTTATAGATGAAAGAGACTTACAATGGTGAGTGACTGAGTGGATCGTGGTGATATTTGTTATCCTGACAAAGAAAGGAAGACTTGAGACAAAGAGAAGGCCATGGCAGTGGAGGAGGCTCTAACTTACCGTTCTCATGCAACCCCCTAGGAGGCCAGAATGCTTCCATTGCCCGGCTCTGCCACAACTCCTCCCCACTGCGAACGCAGGGCTCCACTGTCATCTAGGAAAGTGTACACACTACTTCCCCACACAGACCCAACTCGATAGTCCAAGGTCACCTGTCACTTCATCATAGAGTTTTTAAAACTGTCTAGTGCTCATCTCAATACACAGGGAACTCTGCTGTTGGATGAAACGGGAAGCAGGATTCCACCATCGTTGCCCTTCCTGTTTCAAGACCTGGCATGCAATGGTACTCAGTAACACTGATGGGACAGAAAGAGGGGAGGAGGAAAAGGAGAGAGGGAAAGAGGGAAGGGGAGGGGAAGGGAAGGAAAGTAGGGGGAAGAAAGAGAGGGAGTGAACGACTGTTCTTTTGGTGAGAGCCTTCTCGGAAGGAGAATGTGGCACCATTTGTACCATCTTCTGGCGTGTGTGGGGACTGAAACCTGGGATGGAATGAGAAGAGCGCCATCTAGTGGTCAGAAGACTCAAGAAGGGACCTGTTCTGAAATTTTTCCCCCAGAAAAGCAGGTAAAGCAGGAACTTGCCCACATCAAGTGATATTTTAAAGCCATCTGGAGTAACATCATCCAGAAATTGATTTGCACGTGTTTCTCACATGCCTCGTGGGAAAACTCAGAACAGTAACAAAAATATTGAGTGGCCTGAAAGGTGAATGTATTAATAGAAATATGATTGCTAGCTCTCCTCTGGCAGCAGAGCCCTGAGTGTTCAACTTCATGCAGCCAGACCTTGCGGAAGCTCTGCTCCTTCCATATCAGTTGTGACCCTTCGTTAATAACCTGATGATTCTGTGCAGACAAGTGAGTCACTTCTGTCCTGGGTTCCCAGGAACATCTGCGAGACCAAGGTAGCCCTGGCTGAGGGCATGGGCGCTGCAGTAGGGGTGGGCACAGGTCCAAAGCAGCCTCATGTCTGTGTGAGCCGAACAAGTCCAAGCACTGCTCAGAAGCCATCAGCGGCTCTGCTGGTTAACTGTGAGTTGCTCTCTGCTGCTGAGCGGCTTTCTTTTCTGATTTAACCAAGAGTGGGGGAAATGGTGGGGCATTGACTGCCATTTATGCCTCGAGCCTATGCCTGCAGAGACCACTATGGGGATATTTTCATCTTCTTGTTTTTGTTTGAGTACTGGGGATGCAGGAACGTGGAGGTCTGGTTTGGCCATGGAGCATAATATTCTGTTTGCTTATTTATAAAAGACCCAACTACGCTGTGTTCCGTAGCTCAGTTAAGAACACTAAATAGCAAGTTGCAGTGGAGGAAGAATGGATGAGGTAAAAGACTGAATTCTTTCCTCAACTGTGTGATCTCAGCCAAATTATATGATTGCTTGGAACACTGCCTTCTCACCCCACACCCACCCAGGTCCCACCTCCACCCCCTGCACAGTTTCTTTTCTCTTTTCTTCTTCTTCTTCTTCTTCTTCTTCTTCTTCTTCTTCTTCTTCTTCTTCTTCTTCTTCTTCTTCTTCTTCTGCTGCTGCTGCTGCTGCTGCTGCTGCTGCTGCTGCTGCTGCTGCTGCTGCTGCTGCTTTAGTTTTGTTTTGTTTTAAGATAAAGTCTCACTAAATAGACCAGGTTAACCTCAAACTTGCATCCTCCTGCTTCAGCCTCCTCAGTCCTATAGCAAACCCCTGTACCTAGTTCTGAATGCTGTATTTCTAAAAGTTGAGATGAGGAAACAATTTGCTGTGTTGATTTCTATGAACAAAAGCTGTAAAGAAATCAAACAAATAAAAGCATTTGTTACTTTAAAGATAATTTACTGAGGTATAATTTGCATACAGTGAAATCCATAAATCTCAAGTCCGTAGTCTGATGGGTCTTGTCCACTGTATACAGGAAATTTTCTTCCTATCGTGGAGCTTTTTTTTGCCTTGCCTTAAGTTTCCTGAAAGAATTTCCACCCACCATGTGGTCTGCCTCTGAATTCAACCACACTGTGGAATGTACTGATACACAACCAATCATGGGGTGCCCAGACCCAGTGGATACATCCACAATACAAGTCCTGCACCTAAGCAGGAGCATGGTGGAAAAGAGGGTGGGAAGGATGTTAATTAGACCTAGAGGACTGGGAAATCTATCCTGAGACTGTGTCTCCTAGAAATAGCAGAGGATCCCCACACCTGATACCTCAACAATATGGCTGCCTAAACAAGACCTGAGCAAGCTCAACACCAATAGAAAGGTTAACATAGATGGTGAATCTCATGGGCCCCACCCCAGACAAAGAGCAAAGAACTACACGTGCCAGTGTATGCTGACAGCAGAAGAGGCCATCTTTCCTGGGGATGAGGCTGGTTATACAATACCAGTGGTCAGCCCTGGAATCATGTACATGCTAGCAACTGTGAGCAGACTGAGCAGGTTGTATTTGGACATTTATGGGTGTGTGTGTGTGTGTAATAACAATTAAAGAAAAAGAGTCCAGGATTTTGAGAGGGATTGAAGAAGGTCAAGGGAGGATCTGGAGGAAGGAAAAGAAATGAGAAGAGATTATATCTTTACATGTTAATAAAAAAGAAAGAGAGGGGAGAAAGAAAGAAAGAAAGGAAGAAAGAAAGAAAGGAAGGAAGGAAGAAAGAAAGAAAGAAAGAAAGAAAGAAAGAAAGATTAAAAAAACCCAGCAAACCTTGGCCAACTAGAGTCTTGTTCTTGATCCCCACAAAAGTGAGCCTATTGCTCCTCAGGGTCATGCAGAAGACAGGAGGTTTGGTGGACCAAAGCAGGCAAACTTTCTGTGAGGATCATTTCAGGCTCGAAAGAGTGCAACCATTCCTTGTTATTGTTTATTGCTACAATAAATTATCATACATTTTAAAAAATTGTCTGGGCGCCTAGAGGCATAGCTCAGTGGTTGAAAGTACCTATGACTCTTGCAGAAGACCTGAGTCTTTTCCTGCACTGTCTGTGACTCCGGCTCCAGGACATCTGGAGCTGTCTTTTGGGCTCTAAAGGTAATGCATGCACATGCACACATTTGTGTGATGTATGAGGGAGTCTGAGGTTGACTTTGAGTAGCTTCCTATCTCTCTGCATAATCTTTTGGCACAGTCTTTCAACAAACCTGAAGCTCAGGGATCCTACTAGACTGTCCAATGAACTTGAGGTATCTGCCTGTTTCCACCAACCCCCACAGAGTTACAGGTACCCAGCCCACACAGATCTTACATGGCTGATGGGATCAGAATTCAAGTCTTCATGCTTAGTTGACTTTACCCTCTGAGCCATCCCCCATCCCTGATACTAACTCTTTTCTAGGTTATTGTATTAAACTTACTAGTGGTTTGTCAAAAATGTTTACATCTATGTTAGTAAGAGCACTAGTAATAACTTTGGGTTTTTGTCAAGTTCATACGAGCTAGAGTTATCTGGGAAGAGGAACCTCCTCAGCTGAGAAAAACCTCTATCAGATTGCCTATAGACAAGTCTGTGGGGTCATTTTCTTGATTAATGATTGATATGGAAGGGCTTAGTTTGCTGTGTGTGGTGCCACGGCCCTGGGAAGGAGATCATGGATGACATAGAAAGTGGGCTGACCAAGTCAATAAGCAGTGACCCCTTCTTCAGTCCTTGCCTGATTCCCTCAGTGGCAAACTGTGACTCACAGTCGTAAGCTGAAACAAACGCTGCCTTCCCCAAGGTGCTTTTGACCACGGTGTTTATCACAGCACTGGAAACCCTAAGACAGACACGAACACACCTGCTCTTCGGTTTATAAGGGGCTTGAGTAGTGTTGGTACTGTTACTACTTTAAATATTTTACAGAACTTGAAGTTTGTAGGACAGTTTTGAAATTATAAATGTAGATGATAGATTCTTTAAGGGGCATCCTGGTTTGCTTTCTGGTGCTGTGATAAACACCGTGGCAAAAAAGCAACTTGGGGTGGGCGATGTTATCTTATCTTACAGGTTACCGTCCTAATTGAGAGATGCCAAGGCCGGAGCTGAAGCAGAGACCATGGAGGAACTCTGCTTACTGTGGTTTTGCTCTGGCTTCATCAACTACTTTCGCCCAAGCTCACCTACCCAGAGGTGGTGCCACCCACAGTGGCAGTTAGCAATCAGAAAAATGGCCACAGATGTGCCCACAGGCCAATTTAGTGAAGATAATTCCTCGATGGATGTTTCCTCTTCCCGGATGTGTCAGGTTGGCAGCCAAAACTACCCGTCACAATGGACTTTGTTAATTTATGTTTTTCAGGGAACTTTTTGTTTCCTTTAAGCTGTCAAATACATTGTCATAATTTTTTATATAATATTCCCGAGCTATCCTTTAAGTGCCTATAGGATCTGTAGTTACGCCCCCCTTTATCCCTGACATTGGCAATTCGTGTCCCATCTTCTGCCCGACTATGTGGGTGGAGGCTCCTCAGTTTGATCTCATGAGGAAAGCTGATCTTGGTTCCGTTGGGTCTTCTCTTGTCTGTTTTCAGTGTCTTTGATTTAGGCTTTCTTCTTATTCTTTTCCTTTCTGTTTACTTTAAGTTTAATTTGCTCTTGTCTTAGGGTTTCTATCGCTACGAAGAGACACCATGACCGCAGCAACTTTTGCAAAAGAAAAAAATTAATTGGAGCTGGCTTACAGTTTCAGAGGTTTAGTCCATTGTCTTCATGGTGGCATGCAGGCAGACACGGAGCTGGAGAAGGAATGGAGAATTCTATATCTTGATCTGCAGGTAGTAGAAGCAACTGTGTGCCACATTGGGCATACCTTGAGCATAGGAGACCTCAGCGCCAACCCCCACAGTGATGCACTTCCTCCAACAAGGCCACACCTACTTCACCAAGGCCACACCTCTTAGCCAAGCCTTCAAACACATGAGTTTCTGGGGGCCCTGTCTGTTCAATTCATCACAGCTCTCTTTTGTATTTTTGCAAGATAGAAAATGAGATTATTAATTTAAAATTTCATAAATTATGATTAATGAAATAATGCTTCTCTAGGCACTAATTTATTTCATAAATGTTAATTAACATGTGCATGTTCCCTTTCACTTATTTCAAAGTATTTTCTAATTCTTTTCAGTCTCCTTTTGGCCATAGGTTTTTGAGAAATTAGTTAATTTTCAACTATTTGGAGATTTTTCTCAATATATTTGTGCTATTTTTTTCTGTTGTGACCAAGGAAATATTCTACTTAATGCGAGTTACTTCAAATTTATTGTCAGTTAATCTTATGGCCCAGTTTATAGTCCATTTTGGTGAAGGCTTTGAGTGGATTTGGAGAAAATGTTTGTTATATTCTTGCTGTATGGGATGCTCTATAAATATCAACTAGGTCAGTTGTTGGTCGTCTTCTGCAGGCTAACGGTATTTTCTACTTGTTTCACCCATGAGTGAGAAAGGAAGGCCGGAATCTTCCACTGTAATTCTGCATTTGCCTAGCTCGCTTTCTGTCCTCTAAGACACTGGCTCCCATATTTGACCTTCTATTTTTAGGCCCATGTCCATTAATTGCTTTGTCTCTCTCATGAGCTCACTCTTTATCACTATGATATGTCTCTCTGTATCTGGCCCCAAAACACCCATTGTTTATCATTGTTAGAGTCAGTCCAGCATCCTTGTAGTTAGCGCTTATACAGCATGGCCTATCTACCTTTGATTTTTAATTATCTGTCTTAAACGTAAAAGTGGATTCCCGGATGTAGAAGTTTCGTGAACTCTAAGAGCCTCTGGGTTAACCGGGGAGTTGAGATGTCCCATCTAGTTTACTTCCTCTCAGCTCAGTGTCACCATCTTGTCACCAGTTTGTGTTTCTGACCTGTCTCTGTTCCTTTTGGACACTTTCACATCCTTCACTACTGGAAAATTTTTAGAATTCTGCTGCATTTTCATCCTTACTTGGCGTATTACTTCTACGACATGAAAAACACCCAGCATGCTCTACCTGCTTCTCCTTGCTTCCTGTTAGTGTTGACAGTTTTGAGTCACACATATAGAGATCGCCTGCCTCATTGAAATTTTTGCTTCAGCCAATGGTCTGCACAATCTCAAAGATGAAAGAAGCCATCTTTTACACTTCCCACAAAGAGTCTATCTTCAGTCACCATTCTTTTTATAGATTCCAATTTACATTTGTTAGCACTTGTCCTCTGCCTGAAGACTTTCCCTTCGGAGTTCTTTGCACACACATCTGCAGGCAATGGGTTCTTCAGCTTCCCGGGATCAGAAAAGCACCTCATTTTCACTACATTTTTATCTTTTCATTTCAATAGAAACAACATGAAATCTATGTTCTTAAGGGTTTTATTATTCTTGTTTGCCTTGCTTTGTTTGCGGCAGAGTCTTACTCTGGAGCTTAGGCTGCCCTCAAACCTATGATTCTCCTGTCTCAGT